GCGGGTGGGCCGGGCAAGGAGCGTGTCCTGGAGGTAAGTACGCTTTGGCTGCTGCCTGCTGCTCTTGTCTGCTCTGACCCACACAGGTGCTGCCTCCGCCGCCGCCCGCCCGCTGCTTGCCGTGCCGGCCACGCGTTGAAGCTGCCTTTCTCTCTCCTGTCCGCAGGTGTCTTTAACCACGCGGTGCCTTCTGCCTCTTCGCATCCGCTCGGAGCCGGTCTCGGCGGCGGGGCCGTCTGTGGCAGCGCCACTCTGGGCTTGGCCCCGCTGCAGGCGGTGGTCAGCGCCTCCCCCGCTTCCTTTCAGGCCCCGTCCTCTGTCGAGACCCGGCCGTCCCTGCTGCCTCCTGCTGCACACCTGGGCCGGCCTCCCCCGCCTCCCCCCACCGCTCCTGCTTCTACTCCTGCTCCTGCGCAGCTCGGCCTGGCCGCCGCTCCGCCTAACACTGCCTTGCCTCCTCCGCCGCTGCTGGCGCCTAGCTCAGAGCCTGTGCTGCTGCAGGGCCTCACGGCGCTCCCCGCTAACCATGCTTTCTTGCCGCACTCCTCGGCCGCCTCCCTGCCACCCACTAACGCCTCTTTGTCCTTCAAGCTCGCTGCCCTGCCGCACAAGGCCGCCCGCCCCTCCCTCACTGTCCACCACCAACCTCTGCCCCGGCTGGCCCTAGCCCCGGCTGCACCCCTCCCTCCGCAGGCCAGCCCCGCCACGCCCGCCGCGGTCTGGGTGTCCCTTGGCATGCCGCCTCCTTATGCCGCGCACCTTTCGGGGGTTAAGCCACGATAAAGAGCTTGCTTAGCTAGCCGTTCGTATTGTGTAAGGTAAGGCCAGAGCCGGGCCTTCACTGGCCTGCAGGGCACAGGCGGGCCACAGGGGGGAAGGTAGGGGGCCGTTCTGCTTAGCCATCCGTCCCGAGAGGCACCGAGGAAGCTGCAGAAGGCCTAGGGTGGGGGGAGAGGATGAAAGCAGGCAGGTCTCGTGAGCAGCGTGGATGGGCTAGGGCATGCCAGCTGTCTGGCGCCTCTCTGGCTGGCGTGTGCCTTGTGTGGTCTGAGGATTTGGCCTGTGCCTTTGGGTTCCTGGACGTTCCAGGGGCTGCTGGGCCCAAGAAGTGGGCACAGGGCACAGAAGGCCCGTGGAGTAGCAGGCACCCCTGGCCTTCAGGGACAGATGGCAGAGTGGATACTGAGCCTGATTTTGGCAATTCAGCGGGCCTATGGGGGTCCCCACTTACGACCTTGTGTCCATGAGACCTAGATGAACCTGTGGGTGGGAAGGCGGGGGCCCAAAGCGGAGGGGTGGGCACCGGGAGCCCATCGGAGTGGATCCACCTAGACACCAGTTGGCTTGGTAGGGTGGGCCCCGAGGAGGCTCAGGTGACCACCAGGGCTCTGGGCCAGCCAGCCAGCAGAGGACCAGAACTTGGCTTTGCCCACAAGAGGGGTGCTGTCTGCGTCGCCGTTTGGCTGCTGGGATCGGGATGGGGGCCTGTGTGGACCAGGCCCTGGGTGCTCGCCCTGCCGGCGTGGCAAGCAAGGAAGGGGGCTGTGTACGCCGTGGTTTCTGCAGGACTGGCCCTGCCGACTGGGGTCTGGCACTGGGTGCTGACAGCTGCTCACGTGGGGTCTCTCTCCCGCTGCCTGCCCCACAGGTAACTAGGACTTCTACCTCAGCCGCACGACTATGCAAGGACGGCGTGGACCAACGCGTGTGCTGCCCCGGTGCTTGCGGCCGCAGGGCCACCACTGGACCTCGGAGGCGACAGGACGGAGAAGCTACTGTGAACCCGCCGTGCGCTGTGGCCCGGGAGCAGCTCCCGCGTGCGCGTTGATAGTTTTAGATAAAGTATTTATCTTTTTTTTTTTTTTAAAGTTAAAGCAACTCTGACCTATTTTATCCCACCGAAGTCACGAGGCGAAGCTCTCAGAAAGACCAGGCCTCCGTGTGGAAGACGCCTGTGGAAACGCCGCGCTGCGGTGCTGCCTGGCCCGGTGCTATCTTGTCCCCAGGCTGTGCCGCTGCCCGCTCTCCTGGTGCTGACTCCGGAGGCAGAACACTCGCGCTCGCTCCCCACGCTGTCACCAGCGGTGCTGTCCATGCACCAAAGGCTGGCCGGCGCATGTTCCTCCTGAGTGAGGGGCCTCCTTGCCCGAGTGTCAGGCCCACCTCTTGGGGCCCCGAGGCCTTCCCATCCCGTCACTGTGAATGCTGTCCAGACGAGATCGGGCCTCAGGGCAGTGAGGTGGCCTATTGCCCCGGAACCTGTTCCAGGGGGCAGCCAGTGGGTGGCCGGGGCCTCTGTAACAAGTGCATTTACTCTGTGGCCCTGGGCTGTCGGGCACGTTGCTGCCAGGCGCTGCTAGTGAGCGGGGCGGGCCCAGGGCCTGTGTGTACAGAAGAGAGTCACGGTGACCGTGACCGTATTTTACAGAGATGGTGAAAGTTTATAAATTTCATAGACTCGACTTCATTTATTTTTAGATTGTATAACGCACAGTAAACTTTAAAAGAGAAAGTACAGGAAGAAGTGGGGTGAGGAAGGGAAAGCCACCTCCTTATTCACATGCACAGATGGCAGGGCCCAGCCACGCGGGAGAGAGGGAGCCAGCCCACCAGAAGCTGGGCATGTGTGCAGGACGGGGTGCTCCCTCCCCCGGACCCTGCTTGACCTGGGCTCAAGGCTCCCACTTGGTGGCAGCTTTGTCTCGTTGGTGCTTGGGAGTGGGCTGTCCCCGGTGCTTCCCCTGACCTTGACCCTTTGGGACCCCCCCCCCTTCTAATCTCAGTTGTGGGAGGGCAGCTTCCTTCTTGCTGTTTGCCTGTGCCAGTGGGGGGTGAGGCTCCAGCCTAAGATTCTGCTTGTTGCTCAAGGAGAAGCCTTGTGCTCAACCCCCTTTCCCCGGGCGGGCGGGCGGGTGTGCTCCAGCAGTAGTCATGGGGTTTGCAGATGGTGCTCTGTCCTGTTTCTAAGCTGCCCTTTCTCAGTGTCCCCTCCCAATCCCCATGTTGGTGCTCACCTCCAGGCCACTCCAGTCCAAGGGCACCACCCTGCTGGGCTCACCCTAGCCTAAAACTCCACTGGGCCCAAGGAAACCCACTGCGCACCCCACCGGGAGCTGCAGGTGCCATGGGGGCTGCACGAGACACTAGATCCTTGTTGACACTTCTGGATGGGGCTAGGAGGGGAGGTGGTGTGGGGATGCTGGCCGCCCGCTCAGTCCCAGCAGGGACTCAGGGGCCGAGTTGGGTGTGAACTTGCTCTTGCTCAGGAATTGAACTCCCGCTGGCTGGCCCTGTGTGCCCCACCCCTCCCACCCCCTGCCCTGGGAGACAGCCACCCGGGGATAGCACCCCACCGTGAATTGTGACATATTTAAGGTTGCTACACCCGTATTTATCTGCACCGAGGGCTGCCCTCTGCTCAGCCTCTGGAGGGAGAGCTTGCTCATCTGGCCGCGTCCCTTGTGGCAGCACAACAGCTTTGCTCTGTCTGCGCCTGACCCAGAGCTTGACTGGCGCCCTCTGGCTGCCGGCCAGCCTCCCTGCACTGCTTCGCCACCTCTAGACGCTGCAATAAACATAGTGGTTTCCACTGAACTGGCTACAGGCATGTTCCTTGTGTTGTGGCTCTGGGGTGGGTTCCACCCCCCCCCCATACTACGGATTTGACCAGCTAATCCAATGCCTGTGGGACTGTCTCATGTCTTGGGTACTGCAGATGGGGTGGTGGGCAATCAGCTATGGAGTCCAAACATGAAAGCCCTTTCCCCTTTTAGTGGATATGGGGGTGTTTCTGTACCCCACCTTACCCGCTTGGGGCAATGCCCCTGTCCAGGAGAGAGCAGGTTGGCCCCTGCAATCAGCACACTGCCCAGTGAGGAAAGAGGTCCGTTTATTTCATCAAGAGGCCCACAGGGGGAAACCCTGCCTGGCACCTAGCCCCAGTAGCAGGGGCATGTTCAGGTGAGCACAGCCCTGGTGCCCTTCACAGCTTGTTTACATTCAGCCTCCGCTGGGAAGTTCCCTGCCACTCCAGGAGGGCTGCTGGGGAGGCGGGCTTCTGGAGGTGGGTGCTGGTATCCAGCTGCCTTATATGGCCCCATGAAGCAGCCAGTCCTGCACCCTACCCAAGGAGGTGCCTCTGGGTCGGGCTCATGCCTTCAAACTGCTCAGCTGGAACCGGGCCTCTTCGGAGATGCCCAGCTGCTCCAGGGGGTCCTAGAAAGGGGGGGGGGCAGAGATGGGGAGAGCTCCAGGCCCCAGGGCAAGGAGCTGGTCGCCCACCCACCTCACTCACCTTGCCTGTCATCTTCTGGATTTCGGTCCTGTAGAAGACCAGGCTCCGCCTCATAAACTCATAGCTGGGGAGACAGAGGACCTGAGCAGGGTGCTCGCCCCAGCTTCCATGAGGATCCCCCACCCCCAGGGCACTCTGCTCCCCCACCTGGCCCTGCTCAGGGCTGTGATCCACTCCTGACACTGCTCCTCGCTGCAGCACTCGAATCGGTACTTCCTCTCCATGTCCTCGAGGAAGCCTGTGGGGAGGAGGAGCAGCCCATCTGTTCCCCCAGATACCACACCGAAGGCCTGGTGCCTACCAGCACTACCCACACCTGCCTACTTCCCAGGCCCCGCCTGTGCCACCAACCCACCCCCTAAGGCACCCAAGAGAGTCCCACAGCAGCCTTCACTGAGACCCCAGCACCAACACCTCACTGCCTTGCTCATTGGCCCTCCACTCTGGAGCACCTGCTCCAACACCACCTCCAGGCAGTTAGGGCCTCTCCACACACCCTGTAACCACGCCTAACGGGGGGCACCTGCCAGGTGCTGAGCGCCACTATCCTCGCCAAAGGGGCCCAGAGGAGTGCGGGGGGGGTCTACCGGTAGGAGGGAGGCATGCCGAAAGAGAATAATGCCCAAGCGCTGAGCTGTAGTTCTTCCCACACCACCCGCCCAGCCACTATCCCTGCGTCCAGCCGGGCCCAGCCTGGAAGGCAAAGTCTGGGCAAGGCCGCTGGGAAGGAGCCCTGCTGGCAGTGGCCTTGGCAGGTGGACAGGTGTGCGGCCCGCCCTAGGGCCTGACCTTGAGCTGCCAGGGACAATGGTCTCTTGTTTCTGGGGAGACAGTTGGAGCCTCGGGAGGTCCGGGACGGGGAGGACCTGGTTGTCCTTGCCCCCAGCCCCACTCACTGATGGAGAAGGCGCTGGGTTCTTCCCGGGTGACTCGGCAATGCTCCAGTAACAAGGCTCCGATGGGCTGGAGGCAGATGAAGGATGGTGGTGCCAGTTAGCCCCTCCCCGGGGTGCCCGCCTCCTCCCCGGCTGGGGGGCGGCTCCCGGGAGGACATCACCAGCGCCCGGCCCCGGGCCTCCACGGCTGGGGGGCCGGTCCCGGGAGGACAGTACCAGCGCCCGGCTCCGGGGTTAAAGGGGGTCAAATGCGGCACCCCGAGCCCGCCCTGCTAGGGGAAGCGCCCCTACCTCGGCCTCGTGCGTCCGGAAGTAGAAGAGGAAATTGGCCACCAGCTTTATCAGCCGCCGCTTCACCACTGCGGGCGCAGAGTGGACTCAGGGTGCGCGGCCGAGGAGCCTCTGCAGCTCCCGGACCCGAGCCCCCGAGACCCGAAGCCGCCCGGCCCACCTCCCGGGTGGTCCCGCTCACCGCTGCCCTTCTTGGGGACCCGCATGCCCAGCTCGGCTGCCATATCAGCCGGCTGCCGGGAGAGCGCCTGCAGCTCCTTCTCGTTGTAGCGCATGATGCCGCCGGGAGGGAGAAAGAGGACGCCCGGCCGCCGCCCTCCCGGCCGCCGTCCCTAACGACGCCGAAAAAGTCTCAGCGTGTCACCCAGGAAGCGCTGACACAGCCAGTGCGCCTGCGCAATGCCCGGGGCTGGTTATCCCGTGCAGGGGTGCAGCCCGCTGGTGTCCCGGCGATGACTGGGGCAAACGGACAGTCACTACCAAAACCATTGGACTCGGGGTGAAAGCAAAAGTCAAAAACCTGGTGGCGCCCTTTAATAAAAAAGGGATTGGCGCAAGCGGCGGGGAATGACAACGTTTGAGGGTCAGTCTCGGACCACCGTTCTCGCGAGAGCAAACCCCGCGCCGGTGGGAGCGAATGCAGAGGGCGTTCGGGGCGTTGTGCGCACGCGCGCTCGGACCGCCGCACTCGAAGGCCCGCCTCCTTTCGCTCCCGCCTTTTATCCGCGCCGCTGGGCGGGCTACGCATGCGCACACTGGAGACCCGGCGCCATTTGCCCCGGAAGTACTTTGGAGGTCTGCGACGCGGGTGTGCTGAACGGAGTGGCGGCGGCGGCGGCTGTTGTAGGTGAGTAGCTGGCCGATCACGGCGAGCCCGGCGGCCACCGAGGGCCCAGATTCACCTGGAAAGGGACGGACGCGTCAAGGAAATCCCTGTGACAGGCCGCGGGGTCTGAGGGTAGAGCGCGCGGCTGCGTGGCGTCCCTCCCTCCCGCCCGGCGCTCGTCCGGCCTTCTGCACCCACGTCATCCGGGCGCCCCGCTCTGCCCCGGCGGGGGGTCCGGCCGGGCCCGCGGACACCCCCCGTGCCCTCGAAGCCCCCCCTGAGGACGACTCGGTGGGGCCGGGGCGCCGAGAGCGGGTCCCGGAAGCCCGCTTCCGTTCCCTTCGCTGGAGCCTGGGGGGTCGGCGGTAACCGGTTGCAGGCGAAGTTCCACTCTCGGGGGTGCGGGTGGGGCTGGCCGGCTCCCGGGAGAGAATTCGCCCCCAACCCAGAGACCCTTCCGTGAGGAGAGACGGCACCGGGAGGGGTTACGATTGAGCGAGCGTGAAACCCGAGCGCGATGCCGCCTCACAAAGGGAGCCGAGCCGGCTGCATTCGGTGTGGGAGCTGGGGGTTCGTTTTCTCAACCGGCCGAGCCCCCCTGGGGTGGCATCCCACGTTGGCGAGGCCTGAAAATACCCGTGCACTGCGAGACCACGGGGTGCGTTCAGCGCCCCGCCCCTCGTACCCGTCTGCCCCTGGAAGCCAACGATGGCCTCGTAGTCCCATACACTGTGCGCCTGGCTTTCTCCCTGGTCAGTAGATGCCGTCAAGCCGGTTCCCACGCCTGGCGACCCCAGGACAGCAAAACGAAACTGCCCCGTCCTCATAATTTAAGTCCATTGCAGCCACTGTGCCTGTCAGCCCATCTTTTTTTTTTTTTTTTTTTTTAATTCAGTCCATCTTCTTCAAGGTCTTTTCCTCTGACCCTGGACCCTCTACTTGTACCAAGCATGGTGTCCTTCTCCAGGGACTGGGCCCTCCTGCTGGCACGCCCACAAGACAGGAGACAGTCTCACCGTGCTCATTCCCAACGCTCACGGCCTACTCTGGCTGTACTTCTGAGACAGATTTGTTTGTTATTCTGGCAGACCTGGGCCTTTCGATATTCTTCATCAGCACCAGCATTCAAGCACCTGATAGACTCGAGTATAAGCTGAGTTTTTCAGCACTTTTTTATTCTGTTTTTGTGGTAAAATTAGGTGCCTCGGCTGATATTCGGGTCGGCTTATACTCGGGTCTATATGGTATGACGATTCTTTACTCTGTCTTATGGTCTTACATCTATATATACATGCATTGTCTTATATCTAAAATAAATATGTGTGTGCATGCGCTTTGAAAAGTCTATGGGGGAAATTCCGTTATCTTTTAATTCCATTTTTTCCACAAACTTTTTTAAGCCTCTGTGTATACTGTTATTATTAGATGTCCTTGCTTCAGCTCATAGTGACCGTATTCACTACAGAACAAAACTGCCCAGTCCTGGACCATCCTCAGAACTGCTGTTCTGTGTGACTTTGTTGTTACTTTTGTCAGTCCCCCCGTTGAGCGTCTCCCTCCTCTTTCCAGACTCTGGGCTTTACCAAGCATGATGCCCTGCAGAGACTGGTCTCCTGACAACACGTCCAAAGTATGTGAGAGAAAATCTCACCATCCTCATTCTTGGGAGCATGCTGGCTTGTACTTCTCCCAACACAGACTTTGTTTTTTTTTTCCTGGCAGCCCAGGGTACTTTGAATATTCTTCACCAGCACCGCAATTCAAAGGCATCAATTACTTGTTGCTTTCTCCTGAAAGCACCAAGATCTTCGACACCTGTCATATGTTTATATGTTCATGTGTTTGAGCAAATTGACCCCCGCCTACCTCACATTTCGCCCCCAGACCCCTCTGTACAGTCCTCCGACTGACAACGCTGCTTGTGGCCGATCCTTGCAGTTGAAGGATTGTCCTGGACTCCCAGCATTGGATTGACTCTGGGTTGTTATCGTCTGCAGTGACATCTCTTCTTTCAGCCCCTCAAGACACATCTGGTTGCTCTTGGGGGTGGGGGGGGGTTGGTGTTCATTTGAGTGCTCAGTTGTCTGAAAATGGCTCTGTTTATAAACACACACACACACCTTAGCTCCCAAAGGAGAAGTTAAACGTTGGGTGGGTATCAAAGATACCTTTTCATCAGGCTTGTGCAGGTGCCTGGGACTTGCTTTCAGCTGGCAGTGGCCACTGACCTTGCTCTCAGTTTCCGCGCTCTCTCATGGCCGCTTCTCTTCCGTCTGGGAGAGGCTTGAGGCTCTCCCTCTGCTCTCCTTGTCAGCTTTTTCTTTTTTTTTTTTTTTAACTTCACGGTCCAGAATTTCATACAAATTCTTGCTTTTCTTTTTCTTTTGTTTGTGTTTTTCTTTTATGTGTGGACTGCTAAAAGGACAAACCGGTATTGGACGTAGGGCCAGAGCACTTCTTAGAGACGAGGGTGGTGAGACTTCTTACATACTTGGGACGCGTTGTCAGGAGAGACCAGGGCCTGAAGAAGCACATCATGCTTGGTAGAGTGGAGGGGCGGCACAAAGGAGGCAGCCCCTCGAGGAGATGGATGGACACAGCGGCCGCATTGATGGGCTCAGGCGATGCAGCTGTGAGCATGCCTCGTGTATTGTTGTGCATACAGTCGTATGGGTCAGAGCCAATTCGATAGCACTGAACTACTACTACTTCCCTTAGGGGCGATCCGCTCGACTCCAGCTCCCTGCTCTCCAGTTGAGTGTTAGTTCCCGTTGTCTTGTTTTGACTTTCCAGAGAGGTCGTTGTTATTTGGCTGGTTAATGTTTGGCCTACTGTAGTGTCTTGGTCCAGTAATGTGGGAGTATGTGTGGGGTGGGGTGGGGTGGGGGGATTCCTCGTTTATTTTTCCTACAAGCCTATTGGTAGGTAAACTCACTGCCGTCAAGTCCTTCCAACTCACAGGGCCCCTGTCGGTATGTGGATGTCCCTATTTGACAGGAGGATTTGACCCCGGCCTGCTGGGCAGTGTCTCCAGCCCCTCCTTCCAGCCTTGGGAGGGAAGGCCGGGTCTGTTGCCGTGCGGCAGGTGCCTTTTCTCCTCCAGGACATGGTGTTTGTGTTTAAGGACAGGCGCGGCTGCAGGGAGAGGAACGGCCATGTGTGCGGCCGCCCACCTCAGGGGCAGACTTCCCGGTTTCCCGGCGCAGGAACCAGGGCGTCAGCTGGCTCCTTTCTGAGAGGCTGTGTCCTGGTCTTTTCCAGTTCCTAGCAGTCTGCACGGTGCATGGCATGTGGCTCCTGCTCTGACTCCGGTCCCCCTGTCTCCCCCATAAAGACCCTGTGTCACACCCAGCAGTGACCCAGGATCACCTCCTACCTCCAGATCCTTCACTTTCTTCCATCCACAAAGGCACTTTTTTTATCACGTGATGGTGGTCTCACTGCCATCAAGTGGATGCCGACTCTCAGGGAGCCCGTGGGTCCGCAAGACTGTAGCACTACAGGGGCAGGGAGCTTCCTCTTTCTCCCAGGAGCGGCTGCTGCTTCCAACCCGTAACCTTGTGGGTAACTGCCCCACTCCTAACCGCTACGCCACCGAGCTCCAGGCGCTGGTGGAAGGTGCCTTCTCATTGGTGCTGATGTAGAGCAGCCCTGCATCAGACAGAGGGAAGCCCTGCGCCATGCTCACAGTTGTCAGGTTTCAGCCCCCTGTGGCAGCCACTGTGACAACCCTCTCGTTGACAGCCTTCCTCTTTGTCGCTGTCTTTTACTTACCAAGCATGATGTCCTTTTCTAGCGGCTGGTTCTCCTGACAGCACGTCCGGAGTACGTGAGGCAAAGTGTTAGCGTCCTGGCCTCTGAGGAAGATTCTTGTTTCCACTTTCTCTAAGACGGGTCTGCCAGTTCGCCTCACGTGCCACGATGTCCTCAGTGTTCCTTGTCGGTACCGAACTCAGATGCTCGCGTTGCTCTGCAGCCTGCTTTATTCATCGCCGGGCTCTCACATGCTTCCCAGACCCGTGACAACCCCATGCCTTGGGGCTGGTGTCACTTCAGGTCACAGGTCAGCAGTTCAAACCCCCCGGCTTGGCTGTCTGATCTGGTAACGATCTACGGTCACTGCGTTGGAAGGGAGCGTAGTAGTTTACAAAGTGGACTGCTGGCTGCCTGCTGACAGGGAGGAGGACTCGGAGCGTGTGCTGATGAAGATCAAGGGCTGCAGCCTTCAGTAGGGAGTTCGGTACGGTTCAGGATCGAAAGCCTCACAACAGAACCAACAGGTAGCATCTTGATCAGTGAAGAAACATACTGATACTGTCCATGTTTCATCTTGCTTGGATCTACAATCAGTGCTTGTGGTAACGGCAGCAGTCAAGAGATCAAAAGAAAGACATACTGCATCAGGTAAATCTGTTGCCCAAGACTTTAGCGTACTGAAAGAAAAGGGTGTTACTTTGAGGACTAAGGCGGACCTGACCCAAATCGTGGTATTTTCCACTGCCTCTTAAGTGTGTGGAAGTTGGACATTGAATAGGGAGATTGGAGAACCGATGCACTTGCACGGTGGTGCTGGCCGAGAATGTTGGCAGTGCCACCACTTCCAGAAGAGCAGGGAGGTTTGCAGTGGAGCATTTTCAGTGTGGCCAGAACGCTCCTTAGGAGGCAGGATGGTGAGACCGTGTCTCGCGTACTCAGGGACTTTGGGCATGTCGTCAGGAGAAGGACAGCATGCTTGGTAACGCGCAGGATGGAGAAAGGAAGGCCTCCCGTGAGATGGACGGACACAGGGGCTGCGACCATGGGCTCAGACGTCAGACCGATTGAGAGGATGGAGCAGGCCGCACAACGTGGCAGTGAGGGTTTGGTTCCTCAGAGTGAGGTTTTCGCTCTCACGGTTTAAAGAAGTCCTGTGCAGCCCTATAGCTTGCTAGCTGCTGCTGCCGGGGCACTGGTTCCGAGTGCAGGCACGGCGGGATCCTGGGCTCCGAGCGTCACGCCACTGCTTGTCGGCCTCTGGGAGGATTTTTGTTTTCTGTGTCATGGTGGGACTCTTCACAGGACTTATCGTGGGGCGGTGGGGGGTGGAAGGTACTCGCTCGTCTTCTGCTTCCACACCCCTCTCCTGGCCCTGTGAGCTGCCCTCGGCAGAGAGGAGGCACTGTTTGTATGATCCCCTCAGGAGCCACAGGTTGGCAGTCAGGGACAGCGCTGTGGGAGGGTATACTTAAGGGACCCAGCTTGACAAGAGCATGCCTTCCTCCGTGGGTCCTCCTGGAAGGGAAGGCCCCACGGGGCGAGTCTCCTGTGCTTTCACAGAGCTGACCACTGGGCCAAAGCAAGTGTGAGAGGTGAGAGGCTGTGACCAACCAGAGGGGCTTGGCAAGGTGGGGTGTGCAGTCTGAGAGAGCTTCCTGGAAGAAGCGAGGCTTGTCTGAGACCTGGAGCCTTGTTGTCCCTCCAGCTGGTCTGCGGGCTGTGTGTCCACTGGCAGGCATGACATCCTCCCCAAGTTCACTGAACGGTGAACAATCTTAGACAAGCATCTCCACTGCAGCAGATTCTGGGGCCCAGCCTCCCACTGAAGCCCTGTCTCCGGCTGCAGGACAAAGGTGGGTCCAAGCTGCAGTGCTTCCTTCTGGAGCCTCACGGTGCCTCCTCTGTGTCCCCCAGCTTCCTCTTGTGTGCTGACGCCCCGAGACCGCCACCATGGACTTCCAGCACCGGCCCGGGGGCAAGACTGGGAGCGGGGGCGTGGCCTCCTCCTCAGAGAGCAACCGAGACCGGAGGGAGCGCCTGCGGCAGCTGGCCCTAGAGACCATCGACATCAATAAGGTGAGCTTCCTGCCCACAGGTGGCACCCCCAATTTCCCTCGGCCTCCTGGCCCGTTGGAGGGAAGCCACCCAGCAAACTGGCCCTGGGCGGAGGCCTCTGTGTCCTGTGGGTGGGGGTGGGCAGAGGCAGGGGCTCTCTGCATTGCTGATGGGGAGCCGAGTGAGCAGCGTCCAGGTGACTGCTGCCCTGCTGGGGACTTCAGCCTTGACAGAGGGCCTGTCCCCTTGTTCCCCTCCAGGACCCGTATTTCATGAAGAACCACCTGGGCTCCTACGAGTGTAAGCTCTGCCTGACACTGCACAACAACGAGGTAGGTGCCCACTCCCCGCCCCTCCCGACAGCTCCTGCCGCCCGCAAGCAAGCCCATCCACTGTTCTCTCCAGCAAGGGGGGGTGGGGGGGTGCCCACCTTGCTGAAATCTCAGCCCCCAGACTGCAGCGCCATGGCTGTCTGCCCTTCCTGCACATGGGTGAGCATCTGCTCACCTCTCACAGGGCCCTCGGGGGTAGGGGGATCCCCTGATGGCCATGCCCTATCCACATGGTGTTTCTCTCCCTCCAGGGCAGCTACCTGGCACATACGCAGGGGAAGAAGCATCAGACCAACCTGTGAGTCCCTGAGGGGGTGGGGAAGGGGGTGCATCACTGTGTTTGTGGGCATGTGTCTGTCATGAGACCTGGGGAGCCAGGACAGACAGGAACGGGCTCCTTACCTCTGCCACGCTGCACGTGGTAACTTGTTTGGGATCACCCAGCGGGCTGCCTGCACCTGGGCTGCAGCCTCAGCCACGTCCTGTCCCCCTACCCACAGGGCTCGACGGGCCGCCAAGGAGGCTAAAGAGGCCCCAGCCCAGCCCGCCCCAGAGAAGGTCAAGGTTGAGGTGAAGAAGTTTGTGAAGATCGGCCGCCCTGGCTACAAAGGTGTGTCTGTCTGGGTGGCAGCTGGTACCAGTCATGAATGGGTCCTTTGGTGGGCCTGAGCCCTGCGCTGACGCCCCCAAGCCTCTCCCAGCCAGCCTGTCACAGCCACTCCCTGTGGTCCTTGGCACCTGGCTCTGTGCTTGCTGGATCAAGCACTGGAGTGGGGGCACCCCCAATGCTCACAGCCTTGGGCTACTGAGCGCCCTGTGGGATTCATTGGAGGGGTTTGAGGTTAAGGCATCAGTTTGGTGGCTGAGGAGATTCCCATCACCACCCCCAAACCCTGCACACCTGTGTCCCCCCGGTAGTCAGGGTGCTGGGTGGCACCTGCCCCACACACTCAGGCAGCTTCCAGCCTCACTGGTGTAGTTGGGGGGCAGGCCACCACATGCTCTTGACTCCTGGGAGGACAGCTCCCTGGACTGTACTCTTGTTTTACAGTGACCAAGCAGAGGGACACAGAGATGGGCCAGCAAAGCCTGCTCTTCCAGGTGAGGCCCAGCCCCAGGTCTCCTCAGCGGGGGTGGGGTGGGGGCTGCTGGGAAGAAGGTACTACCCGTTCTCCATGTGTGTGTGTGTGTGTGTGTGTGTCCCTGCCCCACCCCCAGATTGACTACCCAGAGATTGCAGAGGGCATCATGCCACGGCACCGCTTCATGTCCGCCTACGAGCAGCGGATTGAGCCCCCCGACCGGCGCTGGCAGTACCTGCTGATGGCCGCCGAGCCCTACGAGACCATTGCCTTTAAGGTGAGGCGTGCAGGGGGTGTGCCCAGGGATGAGGCCATTCCCCGGCCTCGGGGGGTTTGCCTGGCCCCCTGTGAGCATGCCACGTTGGCTGAAGGCCCCTCCCGCCCATCCAGGTGCCCAGCAGAGAGATTGACAAAGCCGAGGGCAAGTTCTGGACCCACTGGAACCGGGAGACCAAGCAGGTGAGTTGTCCAGAGAAGCCCCGACACTGGGCCGGGTGGGCACGGGGTGAAAAGCATGACGTGGTACCGGACCACTGAGTGCACGTGGTTCACTGCTCCCCCTTCCTCCCCGCCCCTAGTTCTTTCTGCAGTTCCATTTCAAGATGGAAAAGCCCCCTGCACCGCCCAGCCTCCCCGCCGGCCCTCCCGGGGTGAAGCGACCCCCACCCCCCCTGATGAACGGAATGCCCCCACGGCCACCGCTACCAGAGACGCTGCCGCCACCCCCACCAGGAGGTCTGCCTCTGCCACCCATGCCTCCCACGGGGCCTGCACCCTCCGGGCCTCCTCAGATGCCTCCACCAGCCCCTGGAGTCCATCCCCCAGCCCCAGTAGTTCACCCACCAACTTCAGGGGTTCACCCCCCAGCACCAGGGGTACACCCCCCAGCACCCGGAGTACACCCACCAACTGCTGGAGTCCACCCTCAGCCTCCAGGGGTACATCCACCTGCCCCTGCTGTTCACCCTCAGGCCCCTGGGGTACACCCACCTGCTCCTGGTGTCCACCCAGCAGCCCCAGGAGTTCACCCCCAGGCACCAGGAGTGCACCCCCAGGCACCAGGGGTGCACCCTCAGGCTCCAGGGGTTCACCCACAGCCTCCTGGGGTTCACCCACAGCCTCCTGGAGTGCACCCCTCAAACCCTGGGGTGCATCCCCCGACTCCCATGCCCCCGATGCTGAGGCCCCCACTCCCCTCCGATGGCCCTGGGAGCCTCCCACCCCCTCCCCCAGGCAACTGAAGGGCTTCCCCAACCCCTGTATGTTTGTGCAGAAAGCAGTGGTTGGTTTTGTAGAGCTGTGTGCAACCTTGGTGTGTTCAATAAAGTCTCCTGTGGCCTTGTGCAATGGTGTGTCTGATGTGGGGGCTCAGCCGGGCTGGGATGCTTCGTTTTCTCGCTCCCATTGCTACGGTGTAGGAGCCGCTTAGTGGCAGGGATGCTGCTGAGAGAGAGGTCCTACCCACTGGCGATGTTGGGGTTCACCTACCCCATCACCTTGGGGCCCAGGATTCGGGTCTTGGCTCAGCCCCAGGGCTGCCCAGCTGCACAGGCCTTCCACTAGGCCAGACCTGTTTGTGGCCTAGTTGGCCGCTTCCTGGGTGGGGGAGGGGAGAGTCAAGGACGCCTTGAGGAATCCGGTCAACAGGCTGAGGTGAAGATGCTGGGGAGAGGCGAGATAGCCGGGAATAGGACAGAGCACACCCTGTGAGGACGCCTCCCCCGGGCCTGGGCTCTGGGCTGCCCCCCAAGGTCACCTCCACAGGCAGGCGGGGCCCTCCCCACGCCCAGGCATGCAGGGAAGCGCCCATATAAGCACAGCTGCCCGATGCCCAGCACCACCATGCACGCCTCATCACCCTTTGCTCACCTGCTGCTGATCGCGCTGGGGGCCCTGAGTGCCCTGGCCCTCCCCGGGAAGCCGGCCGCAGGCCCCAGTGACCTCATCTTCCAAGAGGACTGGGCCTGGCAGCCCCAAGACAGTCCTGGGCACCTGTGTCTGATGTCACTGGGTTGGGGCAGCAACAGGACCCAAGCTCCCCTGCAGGTGGTGGGTGCCCTACGCACCTACGAGCAGGCTTTCCTGGAGGCAGTGCACCACGCCCACTGGGGCCCCCGAGACCTGGCCACCTTTGGACTCTGCTCCCTGGGTGACAGCCAGGGGACCCTGGACGCACTTCAGCAGTTGGGCACCTGGCTCAGGGCACCCGGGGTGCAACGCCTGGTGGTCCTGCACCTGAAGGAAGGTATGTGGGGGCCAGCTTATAGCTGGGCAGCATCTCCCAGAGACGTGGGTGCTGGCAGACTGCCCCACCTCTCCCACAGAGCCGACCAAGATGCCCCTCCCGCTCGCCCGCATGGCCAGGAGAAAGCCACGGGTGGGTTGCGCTGTACCCCATCACCGTTTCAGCAAGGGAGAGCCGCAAACACCCACAAGGTGCGGGGGGAGGGGGGGAAGGAGGGGTGAGCTGGCCTGTCCATGCAGCCACCATAGATGGAGAGAGACCCGTTTCCTCTGGAACTCTGAGGATTCCCTCCGGATGTCCGGAGACCCTAACGGTCTAGGAGCCATGGGGGAACAGCACCCCTACCTGTATCTTCCCTGAAGCCTGGCATAAGGGCTCCACCCTGCAGCAGATGGGTCTGGGGGTGGGCCTAGACCAAGGTGGCTCAGGTGTCCCTCTCCCTGCTGTGACCAGTGTCATGGGAACCCACACTGTCCATGAGTTTCCAGGAACCCCTGACCAGAGAAGCCGGCCCCCTGCACAAGGCCCTGCTGGTGCTGTACCCCGGGGCCGCCCTCTCAGTCACCATCTCAGGAGCTGGGCTGCTGGGCACCCAGGTACGGCCAGACCTTCACAGGGGGCGGGGTGGGGGTGGAGCGTGGCAAGCGGTGCTTCCAGGTTAGGTTGGGCATCAATCTACTCATCATGGGCATCCCCATCTCCGCAGAGTCTCTGCTCATCCAGGGGCACCCGCTACCTGGCACTGGCTGTGGACCGCCCAGAGGGTGCCTGGCAAGGTACTGGGCTGAACCTGACCCTGCAGCCACACACAGATGGTAGGTGGCACAGGAGCTGGCAGGGGGAAGCAGGATGCCCCGGGACTCTGCCCCTGAGCCGTTCCCCCGCCACAGGTATTCCCCTGAGCACAGCCCGGCTGCAGGCACTGCTCTTTGGCACCGACCTGCGCTGCTTCACACGAATGACACCGGTCCTGCTGCTGCTGCCGCCATCGCTGAAGCCCCAACCCACACCACTGCCGGCACATGGCTGGCTAGACTGGGTGCCGTTCCCATCGCCCAGGTACAGGTCCAAGCCAGGATGGGGTGCTGGGGTGGGGGGGCTGGGAAAAGGGGGCACAGGCAGGCCCAAAGTGCCGAGGAGTGTCTAAGAGTGCAGGGTGCTGGGTGAGGGATCTGTGGGTACAGGGTGCTGGGGGTGTAGTGTGAAGGTGCTAGGTGCTAGGAAGGGTCTTGAAGGTGCAAGGTGTTGGGAAAGGGGATCAGGGTGCTAGGAGAGGGGTCTGAGGGTGTAGGGTCCTGGGAGGGAGGTGTGAGGGTACAGTAGGTCTGAGGTACAGGTTACTAGGAAGAAGGGTCTCTGCACCCTTAAGGGATTGAGGGAGTCCTTAGTGTTCCGGAAAGAGGGAGTTTAGGGTGTATGGGAAAGAGGATCCAGAGTGCTAGAGGAGACTGTAGGGGTGGGGGTGGGGGTGTGTCAAGGGTGATGGGGATGTGGGTGGGTGCAAAGGCCCAGAATGCTGGGTTGGGAGAGTATGGGGGCTCCAAGTTGAAGAGAGGGGGAGAAGGCCAGGGGATGTGGTCTAGGCTGTTCTGGAGTAGGGTGGGGTGCTAGCTGCGGAGCAGCAGAGGCTGTCAGGTTGAAAGAAGGCACCCTGGGAAGAAAGGAGGGGCCAGGAGGTCTAGAATGCAGGGGAGGGGCATTGGGCGCCACTTGGCATCTGCTTACTCTGCCCCGCCCCAGGCCTTCACTGGAGCCCACGGCCCCGCGCAGCTCGGACCCTTTCCTGGAGACCCTCACGCGCTTGGTGCGCACACTACGGGGTTCCCCAGGTCCGGCTTTGGCGCCGCGCCTGGCCCTGGACCCAGGGGTGCTAGCCGCTCTCCCGCAGGGACTCCTCAACCTATCGGACCCCGCTGCGCTCCAGAGCCTGCTGGACGGCGAGGAGCCGCTGCTGCTGCTGCAGCAGCCACCGCTGGCCAGTGACACCGCGCCCGCAATGGACCCCGCAGGGGAGGCACGGTGGACGGCGGGCCTGGCGTTCCGCGTGGCCGCCGAGCTGCAGGTGGAGGCCGCCGCGCTTCGGGGCCTCCCAGGGTTGCCGCCCGCCGCTGCACCATTGTTGGACCGCCTATTGGCGCTGTGCCCTGGGGGCACCAGCGCGGATGGCCCCGAACGGCCGCTGCACGCACTGCTGCTGCTGAAGGCGCTGCAGGGCCTCCGCGCCGAGTGGCGCCGGCGTGAGCGGCGCGAGCGACCTCACCGTAGCTCGGGCGCGGCTCCCGGCGGCGAAGGGCCGTGCGCGCTGCGCGAGCTCGTCGTAGACCTGCGTGCCGAGCACTCTGTGCTCATCCCGGAGACCTACCAGGCCAACAACTGCCAGGGCACGTGCGGGTGGCCGCAGTCCGACCACAGCCCGCACTACGGCAACCACGTGGTGCTCCTGCTGAAGATGCAGGCGCGCGGCGCCGCCCTGGCGCGACCGCCCTGCTGCGTGCCCACGGCCTATGCCAGCAAGGTGCTCATCAGCCTGTCCGAGGAGCGCATCAGCGCACGCCACGTGCCCAACATGGTGGCCACAGAGTGCGGCTGCCGGTGACCCAAAGGGCCTGGTGTGCCCCTGTCCGTATTTATTCTGTCCCCACACCAAACCCCAATAAAGACCAACGCGCGCGCCCTGCAGTGCGCATCCCGAAGCATATCCACTGTGCCACCAGGGCGCCTTCCGCCCCTACGGGCACACAGGCCTGGCAACCCCTCGCCGCGGACGCAGCTGGGAAAGCTGTGTGGGGCAGTTCAGCTCCGTAGCACAGGGCCCCTGGGAGTCAGAATCCATGTGGGGGCATCGGGTTGGGGTTCATGTCTGGTTGGGCGCCTGCCTCCTTCTGGGCCTCTCCTCCCTCAAGCTGGGTACGGGCGAGACACACCTCCCTCTCTCACACCCCCTCCCGCCCCCTCACCCCCCCGCCCCCATCCCAGCTCCCCGTCTCCATCATCCCATTCTGGGCTACGGGTGCAAAACAGCTGGCATCAACCCGGCGCAGGCACCGGCTTTATTCCGCTCTCTAGGGCGCATGCTCCGCTCGGTCCCGCCCCTTTCCGGGGCGGGGCCTCTGGCGCGCGGGCCGCCCCGCCTCTTCCGAGGAGGTTGAGCCGCTCTTGGAGGCCCAGGTCGGCCTCGGGCCGGAGTCCCGTGTCCACGGCTGGTGGCCCCCGGGGCGAGACTCCCGGCGCCCGGGTGGCGCTCCTCGCATCACCCTGTCGGCCCGCGGCCTCTCCTCCCTCCGGGGCCTCTCCCTCCGCGGCCTCTTCTCTTTCCTCGGCTTCTCTTTAGGGCCTCGGTGCACCTGGGCGTCCTCAGTGGCCTCCCCGGCGGGCTCTCTGGCCTCCTCTTCCGCTGCCGCCCCACTCCCGGAAGCCTCCGGCCTGGCCTCGGCCTCGAGCTGGGGCGCGGGTGGCCCGGTGGGTGGCGGAGGCCAGGCTACAGGTTTCAGCTGCAAGGCGGACAGTGGGCCGTGGGTCAGCGCCGCCTCCCCGCCCGGGAGCGCGCGCCACCTCCGGGTCACCTGTCGGAGGCGCTTACCTGGGGCGGCTCCGATGCCTTCGGGGCGGCGCCTGGTGGGACCCAGGGCTCAGGGGCAGGAGCAGGGAAGGCCTCCTTGCCTGTCACGGCGTCTGAGGGGCAGAAGGAGGGGTGGAACACAACCTGGGTGAAGACAGGCGCCCCATCCACCCCTGTCCTGGCCCTTAGCGAGCCCGCCTCTAGCCAGGGAAGGCGCTGCCCTGGGAAGGGGCTCCGGCGGCCTCTCTGCTGCGGACGCGTCCCTTTGCCCGCCGTCCCCTCTGCAAATGGATCGCCCCTGGGGCAGGGCCGCTGGAAGGGGATGCAGGAGGGCCTCTGGGGAGCCCTCGCCCCTGTGCCTAGGGAGGGTGCAAGACTGGAGGAACACATGGCCCACCCCGCGACCCCAAGGAGGAGGGATGTTTGTGGTCAAGGGCCCCCCACCACAGGTGTGACCCTAGGAAGGTCTCACACCCCCAAAGCAGACCCAGTGCGGGGCGCAAGCTCCGCCCCTTAGGGGAGCTGCACA